CCATAAGCAAAAACATTATCTTTGAGAATAATTGAAGCTAATTTTTTTATTGTATCAATACTAATTCCTTTCACTTTTCTATAACCATGAGCATGAAGAAATGTCATAAGAATATCTAATGATTCTTCTTGTGGTAACATTGTATATAAATTACGAATATCAAATGTACAAAAAAGAGTTGTTGGCTTTAAGAGACCTTTTTTGTTATATTTTGAAAGTTCAGTAATTAAAGAAGCGCCATCAATAATAGTTGTATCTTTGCATTTATCATCAAATATTGGTCGTAAAATTTTGTCTAAGAATTTTGAAATTTTTGTAGTTGAAGCATGAATAGTACTTTCAATAGGTCGAACTGGTATACCATCCTATAAGAATTAGAAATTAAATAAAAAATTAAATATTAGCAAAAACTTTAAGAAAAGTTACCTTATGTGTTTTAGGATTAAAATATAAATGAGCTAATTCACAATTTGTTCGGTCAGGCATCATTTGTTCATACCCAAGCAGACAAAAAAATAAAAAAACGCGTTTAAACGCGGTAAATTTTTCGACCGTGTTTGGCTGACACTTGGGGTTCCCGACTATCAGCAATAAATGACCAGTAGAACTAAACATTAAAACGGTCAGTTTTAAAAGTAGCTTGAACTTTTGACGTGGTTTTGGCTATTAATCGTTTCACATTTAATCATCACTTTTGAGAAACATTATCACCGTTTAGTAAAAAAGCTCAATTCCCCTAAGTTCACGCTGAGAAAAGTTAAACGTTTAAATGATCTTTTTTTGCGGAATCACGCAATTTTCACAATTTAAACGAACAATTATCCCATGTACGCTTTCACTCACTTCTCAAATACATTTTTGGCTGACAGTCGGGAACCACGATTGACAACCATTAACGCAACAAAAAACTAAACATTCAAATCATCACTTTATTGATGGTCCTAAAATTTTGACCACTTAAACGATCCATTATCTGATGTACGCTTACCCTCACTTCTCAAATACATTTTTGGCTGACAGTCGGGAACCTCGATTGACAACCATTCACGCAACAAAAAACTAAACGTCAAAGTCATCCCCTTTTCAACGGTGATTAAATTTTCACCATTTAAACGATTCATTATTCCATTCACATTCAGAAAAGCATTTAGAGAATGTTTTTAGCACGCACTTGGGAACCACGATTCACGACCGTTTATACATTAATAAGTTGATCGTTAAAATCACCTGGTTTTCAATGCCCATATACTTTCGCCACCAAGATAGCGTACCACTCAAGAAGCCGCCCAATTTATTTTATAAAACGCTTTAAACTACCGTGCGAATCGTTTTCATTGCGCAAAAACCTCAACGACTCGACTGAAGACCAACTGCAATTCAGCACCATAATTGTGACCACCGTAATTTGGCAACGCAACTCAACAATCAAACCGCCACCGCACTCATTTAATTCCGGTAACCACTAAGCCATCAGACCAGAGATCAGATCATCCAAAAAAACGCACATTAACATTAAAAAAAAACATAACAAACTTAGTTTATTCGCAAAAGCCTACTCGATCATCAGTTTAACCGATAACAACAGAGAGAAAACGAAAACGAATTTCTTCCGTTAATAATCTTCAGGTGAGGCCTAACGATGAATCCAATATCATCAGCACCTCACACCAAATGGAAACAAAAAAAATGGATTTTAGCGTATAACCGCGGACACCTACCTTCATTGTCGATAAGTATGCATCACGTTCTGAAAATCAAAGACACCCTTAAACTAATATTTTGACTCGCTCAGTGAAAGCCACATTCAGCAACCGTCTCATTGCCCATTGAATTTTCATCTAAAACAGAAAAAAAACAAAAATAAGTTGTGGTTAATTGTGAATAGGAACCATCATGTGATAATCCATGGACTATCATCATCAGCTTACCCTGAGTATAGAACAGACGATAACGATGGAAATGAGGAAATGAAGATTACCACTTACCTGTATTGTTGATGAAGACGAACAAAGCTGTTGAATAAAAAACCACCTTCAATCTTCCATTCGTGTCGATGAACAGACGGGGAACTTACTGTTTACATTATTGACCATTCCCAATAACCTAAAACAGAAAAAAAAAATAAATAAATTGTGGTCAATTGTGAACAGGAACCATCACATGTTAATAGATGGACTATGATGATCAGCTTACCTTGAATATAGAACAGACGATAACGATGGAAATGAGGGAATGAAAATTACCACTCACCTGTATTGTTGAGGAAGACGAACAAAGCTGTTGAATAAAAAACCACCTTCAATCTCTCATTCATGTCGATGAACAGACGGGGAACTTACTATTCACATTATTGACCATTGTCATACACCTAAAACAAAAAAGTAAATAAGTTGTGGTCAATTGTGAACAGGAACCATGACATGATAATAGATGGAGGGGAAATGTATTTTCGCCAATAGGGAAGTTCGCCAATCGTTTGATTTCACCAATTGTAGTTTCGCCAATTGGCGAATATCCACTAGCACTGTCCCAATCGACGAACATAGCCATACGAAAGTATTTAAATTATTGGCAAATGTCACACTGGTAATTCGCTGGAATTTGCTAATGGAAAATATACAATTGGCGAACTTCACTATTGGCGAAATTACATAGACTCATAGATGGACTATGATGATCAGCCTACCTTAAATATAGAACAGAGGATAAGGATGGAAATGAGCGTATCAAGATGACCACTCACCTGTTTCTTTGATGAAGATGAACAATGGAGTTGGAATCAAAAGCGAGCTTGAATTGACGTTTGAAGTCGATGAATTGAATGTGAACTTAGTATTCGTGTAATCGGGTATTATTATTCACCTAAGATAAAAAGAGAGAAAACTAGTTTTGTTTAATGTTGAATGGGAACGCTGTGATGATGGTGGATCGAGCACAAGAAGGACATGAATATAAAGGAGCAACGGCAGTGTTCGGTTGAAAATCATGGGCAAATAGATGAAGACGTATTTTGCTGGTTAGTGAAAAAGAAAAATTGTGCGAGAAGAAAAGAGAAATTGCATTTCTGATATAGACTCGTTCGGTAATAAGGAACTCATAATCTGAGTGATGGACGGTGGGTAGCGAACAAAAGCATGCGAAGCAAAAATCAGTTTTGTTTCGTATTCGGGACAATACTTCGACGTAGTGATGAATGCACTAATATGACCGAGTGAGAATGAATAAGGAACAATAGTTTTAGGATTGGGAATCAGTGAGTATGCAAGAACAATTACCTTGATTGTTGATCAAGATGAAGGGAAGTCTTCAATCGAAAGACGAATATGATTTCTGATTGGCAGTGGATGGATAAAGCGGGAAATTTTTCGGTTTTGTGAGTAGGGACGAATATTAATGTGAATATGTCACCGAAAATTCCATAAGGAAAAACCTGCTGATTAGTTGTCACTGGAGTATTGAAAGCGACTTTCCTGAAAGTGCTGAAATAAAAACTTTTTTTGCGACATAGATGAACAAAGGCAATGATATATAAAATATGAAGAAGATAGCAGGATAATAAATGAATTGCATTTTCAGGTATGTTTGATTAAAATCAATGCGCACTGGTCATTACACTTATTAAAAACGTACCATGTTGGAAGATTTGTTGAAAATTGCGAAGCGATGCCTGTGTTTAAGTTTTATTGCTGCGTACTACACTTAGCATAGTTCACGATCAAATTCGATTGGACGATTCAGTATTTAAGTAAAAAGGAATATAGAAAAGGCGAGCAGTCGAAAAGATAATTGTTACAACAGCACTAAGAGAGATACGTAGGGTGATATGTATTTATGATAGTGCTTATTGCCATAACAATAAGTGGACTTTGAAGTATTTAATGAACAATCGAAATTTCTAATTACACAAGTTACCTGACCAAGGGAAATGTAATATAACGTGATGAAAAATTGCCTAGTTTTATACGCAGCATAAAAAAGCAGCGTGTACAGTATACAGACTGAACTTGACTTTCCTTTTAGGGAAAGATTTTTACTTTCTTCTCAGTGTTCGAACTCGATTTCGGTGAAAAAGTTGAAAACGATATGAGCCTTTTTCAGGAGAGGGATGGTAAAGTTCCTCTATATGTTCTTTTTAAATGTTCGCAGTGACATGGAATTACTATTATTAGTAGCGTGATTGAACCACGTGGTAAAAATACTAAGTACCACAAAAGTTACTTTTGAAAGAAAAATTAAATTAGAAAAAGCAATATATTCAAAAATATTTTAATTAGTTACAATCGGAGTAGTAATATTGCAGATTTAACAATTTGTTACTCGTTTTGCTCATGTGGTTTTTTTGTTTGAATGTTAGAATTTAAAACATTTTTGACATTATCGATGTGATCAATTGTGTAAAAGAGAAATTTTAATGGATATTTTCGTGCATGATTTGAAATCAAACTTGCAGCATATAGCCCATACATTTTATGTATGACCTACAAAATAAAGTGTACCATTACGAAATGCTCAAAAAGTAGTGTTTTCATATCTTTTGTTTCATGTTTTTGTTAAAATTTTTGATAAAACCAAGGCAATGCAAACGTTGTAAACAATAATACCTGATAGAAACTGTAGGGAATAAGTGTTGTTTGATATAGAATAAGTTTATAATGGAAAAGTATCACAAGAATTTGTTTTGTTGATATCTATTTTTAAATTCTTTCAGAACAAGCAGTTGATTAAAAAAAAATCACAATTGTCATTGAAACGTAACCAATATTTGATTGTAATGGTTTATTTTAATTTTTCGCCAGCATAGGCGTAATGGAATCTATTACCTTATAACTGAAGTAAAGACGTTTTTAATCTTATGCTTTTGAACTTCAAATAGAAATCTTTAGCAAATATTATGCTTTAAGCTTTTAAGAAAGATCTTTGTACTTCAGTCAGACCAAACTTGTATAATATACAACTCAGATAATCCACCGGAAAAATATCGGAATGGTGTCGCTAGCTGCTTCACACTAAAAGCAATTCTTCAAGATAGTATGTTTATCCAATGACAAACAAATAGTATTTGTTATTTTGAGAGTCAATGTTAACAGCAATTTAGCCATTTAGCTGAATGCACTTTCGTATAATAAAACTATGTTAGAGGCGTAAGATTTATTTTTCTTATTGGTTAACTATCGTTAATACTATGATATCAAGTTTGCAATATATCAAATTATATGATCATTGTTTTATTGTTATTGTTAACTAGATATTGTTATACATTTTTAGGTGCATTTGACTGGATTATTGTTATCTTGTTCTCGTATGGAGAGCAGATACTATTCTACTAAATATACGCTTAGATCGTTAATGTTCATTTCATTTCTTTTTATCTGAATTGCTGATTACAAGCTTTTGCTTTTAATCTATTGTATTCTCCGACATCAAGAATACAAACTAACCCTTTTATTTTACTTAAATTTAATATGAGTATTATATTTATTTATGTAAGTTTTGTCTTCTTGTTTTAGCTTTATTTTGATTGAAATCAATAATTTTCTTTATAACGTCGTCGAATTATTTTTATTTACGCATCACCTTTTATTGTAATACATTCATTTCTTTAAATGAAGCGATCAGTCTCCTCGATTAGTAATTCTCGAGATACTATTTCATCTCGATTAAAGCGTAATCGATTAATGAACAAAAATCAAAACGAGGAGAACATATCAAATATAAATAAAAATGTTGCCTTCGTACGTGGCAAAGAAAATTCAATATCGAATAGATCAGGAAATTCCAAAGAGAAATTTCTTGAAAAGAATATCGATTTGGATGATAATAGTTCCATTAGGTCTGGACAGCCGCCTCTTCAGTCCACAATCTCATTTTCATCACCATCATCGTTATCAGAGAATCATAATCACGAAGTTGGTTCCAACATGAATCAAACATCACAGTTACACAATAACGATCCAAAATCAAGTGATAATGTTACGAATAGTTCATTGTCATCTCAATCAAAGTTTGACGTTGTCATATAATTAGCAATACAATAATGTAATCTTATGTTATTTAGCTTAAACAAGAAACAACCTCTTCAAAAAATCCGAAAGTATGAATATATTCATTTTAGTTATGCTAATTTCCTTTTTTCTTCACCTATTTTATTAGTTCAACCCAAGTTGATACTAATCGTAATCCTGTTTCTATTGAACGTAATCCAGTTTCAACTGAACGTAATCCAGTTTCAACTGAACGTAATCGTGTTTCAATTGAACGTAATCCAGTTTCAACTGAACGTAATCTAGTTTCAACTGAACGTAATCCAGGTTCAACTGAACGTAGTCCTAATACACAGTAAAAATGCTGTTTATAGTTAAAACTGATTGACTCTTGTTTTTCATATAGACCGTTACCAAGTCGATTATCGAAGGACAAAACTCAAGTTTTCAACCGACATTGGTAATGTACTTAGTGGATGATGATTTGTTTTTAAATCTTGCTTGAATTATAATTTTTAAACAGTTCTGTACAATCTCAAAATCAGAGTGTCACTCACAATAATAGTAATCGATTATCGACAACTGTTGATCTTCGTTTTTCAACGCCAAAATTATCTGGAAGTGCACTAATCGAAGGTTCATTGGAATATAGAGAATTAAAGCGCTCTTATTTGTTTGAAAAAAAACAGGCTGAAGAATGGAAAAAGGACTACATGGTCTTAAAGCAACAATTTAATGAACTTAAATCGAGCACATTACGTAAGCTTTAGTTTTTCCTTTTAGTACATCATTTCTTTAGATCTCACGTCGATATTTTGGCAAAACGTGATTGTTTTTTCTAAAGAAACTTTTAACTTATTATATGTATAGTACAACAATTCGACTATATAGAAGCTATTCATCGTTTAATAAAAAATTCGATTTGTCCCTCTACTTCATCGGTGAATAAGAGTTAATTAGTTTGTTGTCGAGTTCTAAGATTTCTTTAATTGGTGCATTTCGTTTTCTCTCGCTACGATACAAGAGCAAAAACGAAAATTATTTGGCTTTAAATTAGCTTTAAAATGCTATTATCTTTAAAAGCTAACCCCAATATGTATGTGTATACTGATTTAAAAGTAAAAAAGAAACATAACATCTTAGAAACTAGGAGCATCATTAAGGTTACTGTGTCTAGTAAAACAGAAATTATCTCACTACTTTACTATGAAACTATTTTATAAAGAGATTGCCATGATAACATCGTTTATAATTCAGTTGATTCACTTTACAATGTAATTAATTAATAACCTATTCTGATGATGCTGCACTAGTGTGATTAACGCCAAGTCTCCAATATAAAGCAGATTCTATTATGATTTTTTTAATATCGACTTTAATCACTTATTGAAATTAAACGAATTTCAACTAAGTAATCAAATTTATTCTTAATGATTCAAATTTGTTAGCAGATTAAAAGATTAAAATAATGGATATGCTACATTGACAAGTCTGATAAATACAAAAAAAAATATTGACATCAGTTCAATAAATCTATAGTATTTAATATCGTTAATATTTTAGCCTTTATGCATTCTCAAGCCTATATTTAAATCAACAACAAACACCTAGACAACAATATTTTTCTTAACTTTAGCTCGACCAACAGCCGAAGTCATCGAGTGGCTGAAAGAACTCTTTGATTTGCTCAACAACAATGGAACCTTTCGAGGCGATGGAAGAAATCTAACTTCAGTTGGTAAAGATTTAGGCCTCGATGAAGCAAATCTTATAACTGTGGCAGCACGTACACCGCAGAAGTCTGCACTGAAACTTTTCCGCCTGATTTATCCAACCATTGGTCTTCGTGCAGGCTGTGTTTCTATATCAAATGTACCAGAAGAACAACTACAAAATATCTACCGTAAGTTCGTCAATTTTGTACTATAAATCTAATGGATTATTTTATATTTAGAATATGTGCGAATTCTGCATCCCAGTCTAGGGTTCAAAATGGCAGACATGAGACGAGCGATCGGGAATTCAATTCGTTCTGCAACACACGAAATGCGAAAACTGGAATATCAAAGACAAGAAAAACTAAATGAGTTGCAAAATGACGAAAATCTTGATCCCGATGAAAGAGACGAACGAATTCAAGATGCACTTGACACTATGCAGATGGCATTAGATGCTAATGATGTCAACGAATATGATCAAGACTCAGATAATGATGAAGTTGATAATGAAGTCACGAATTTCAATGTCGATGATGATCTCAATGATGATGAGGTTGATGAAGCTGATGAAGATACAATTTAAGATTTTAAATAGACTATATTGTGTATTACTGAAAAAGAATGAACTTTTAATCCTGTAACTAGAGCTTGTGTTCTTTTATCCTTTTTTTGCTTTTTTTATTCTATATGTCGTCTTGTTTTTATTTGGCAAATATACCGTATTGTAACATCTTAGTACTTACGCATTTCACATTTAGAAATAGAATATGCATGATACCTTGCAAAAATTATTTATCGAAGTGTATGATAATTATATATTTAACAGGGTACGTTCGAACATAGGAATCTATTAGAAATAAATATTTTTATATAGGAATGGTCGCAATTGGGACATAAATAAAAACAAGAGTGCAACAAATAATAACTTTAGAAAATAACGTTAATTTTAACGATATGCACTCGTATAAAATAGTTACATATTCTTAATTTCTTTACGTTTCCCAGTCAAAATAGCATACATTTGTAGAAAAACTGAAAGAAAAATTGAAATAGAAGTGATTGGTTATATAAATTATGTAATCATGAGCATACGAGTCACACAACAAATAAACACATACATTTAGTTATCAATAGATAAATGAAATATATATATATATATATTTGAACTTCAGATAATAAAAATGCTTCATGATGATGAAGTTCCACTACGTTCAGCTAAAAATATTGTTCGTCGACTACGTGCAGCTGGCCATCGTCTTTCTCGAAATGATTTATTGTCATCTATGTCGTTTGACAATTCAACTGATACTCGGTAAGCTAAGAGGTATATATGAATTTTATTCATTTCTGTAAATTACGTATTTTAAAGTATGCTGGATAGTTATGCAGACGAAGATGTTAACAGAAGTAATCAGTTAAATGATTTTGCACAACTGACACGAAGAGACGAATCAGATGATCGTATGTTAGTTGAACAAGATGAGGAACAAGCTGACTATTTGGCAATAAATGAAGATGATGAGCTGTTAGAAAGCGCTTCCATGACAAATGATGGCGATATTGATGATATACCTACCATCAGTTCAGACTTGGGTAATGAAAATGATGTTCAATCACCATATTCTGAACATAACTATATAGCAACTGACTCTGCTGAACATTCACCTAGCGTAGAAGAATTATCAACTGTCCTTGCTTTATTTCGACATCGACATAAACTATCGAAGTCATGTATTAACGATTTATGCGATCTTTTGCGCTCACTTGGAGTAAAGAATGTGCCATTGGATTTTCGTTGTATCGAGAAAAATCTTAAGAAAAAAACAGAGAATATTCTGCAAGGTCGCCGATTTGTCATATGTTCAAAATGCAGTAATAGAGGCGGTAGTTTATCAAAATGTGAGAATATTCAATGTAATTTCAACAGTGGTTTTATGTCCACGCCTACTACACTTTGTACTTTTAAAATTCTTCCAGAATTAATAGCGATTCTTGAACGTCATAATGTTATACCTGAACGCAATTGTAACCAATTCAGCATATCAGATGTCCAAGAAGGTCATGTTCGTTGTAATATTCTTCATCGTGAGCGCGTGATCAATCCAAAGAAGCAAATAGTGACTTTGCTGTTAAATAGTGATGGAATAGTTCTTAAAAAATTTAATCGCTCAGTTTGGGTTACCTGCATGGTAATCAACGAATTGCCTCGTGCAATACGATTTGATCTTAGAAATGTAATCATTTGTTCGATATCTATGGGGGGAAGTAAACCTAAAAAGAATCAATTTCAAAGTTTCATCGAAGACTGGGTGATCGAATTGCAACATCTCGAACTTGGTTTTCATGTGGTACCTCCTAATTTAAACGGCCATTTTGTTCAAGTACATGCCTATCTGATTGCAGCATCTTTAGATAAGCCAGCACAAGCTTTGTTATTAAATTTAAATGACCCTACTGGCTTTTACAGTTGTGTGCGTTGCACTATACAAGGTAACCTATAAAACATTCCATTTTTCTTGAAGACATAGAACACGTGACTTCTATTAACAGTTCTTTCACTTCTATCAGATAATTTTTTATTCAAAGGTTTTACATATCTTCTACATTCTCGAACTTCTTATTTCTATTATTTTTAATCAAATTTATTGCTATATAGATATAGTAACTATCGATTCAAAAGATATGAAGGGAGGCTGTATTTTGATTTTATAATGCTTTCATCTCAATTCTTCATCGAGAGGAATTACGATGTAATAAGCAGAGTTTTAGTCTTTAAAAAAGTCAAAAATCTTTTTTTTACTTTTATGCTATTCATTTTAAATACATATCTTTCGCCATGTCATTTATTATTATGAGCTGAATATTTGTATGAACTTCAGTGATTTTATACATTCTTCTGTTGTTATATAAGAGAATTCTAACGCCTTCACAATCCTATAACTGCATCTTTGAGAGATAGATATGTTGACCATAGCTCCAGTCGTATTCATAGATGTGAATTTTTGAGGGAACAAAAACAATTGGGTGCAAAATGCATTTCTATAAATACACGTGTATCCATTGTCTTAAGAAAGATTCTTTTGTGCCGTAATTCTGTCGACTAATTGAATTGTCTTTTTTTAATTCAAAAAGTTCAAATTGAGAAGTTTTATTAATATCATTAACTAAATATCTTCTTTTTTTTCATATTTTTCATATATTAAGAGATCGTAATACTGTATAAGTGTTATTCATTAAGGTATAAAAAAGTGTTGAGCATTTAAAAAGTTGGACCGACTTTCATAAAAAACATTAATCACTGAAGTCAATATCAACCATATCACGTTGTAAAACGCATGCTTCTAATATATTGATGTGTTAAAACAAACTTATTTGCACGATCTTTAGTTCATTTATATTTTTAAGGAATCTCTGTTCCAGTCCGCGAAGGCACAACTCGTGTTTTTATAAGAAAAAACCACAAAGACTGTCAAAATAGAAGTAATGAATTGTATGATAAACATTTAATTGAACTGTTAAAAGTAAAACTATCTTTTTTTTACAAATGCAGTGAAAGAAATTTATTCGTTTAGAAAAGACCAAAGAGCAAAGCAAGTGACATAGACCCTGCTTGTGGTCAACAGGGTCCTTGTCTTTTAAGAAAACTTTATTATTTTAATATAGGTCCGTCATTTACTACAGATTCTCTTCATAATGTGTATTCAGGCACGTTTGTAAGTACTCGTACACGCCTAACTTGTTCTTCTATATATATATATATATATATATATATATATCGTTTACTAAGTTTTTGGTATTATTTACTAGAAACGATTATTGGAAATATGGTTCAAAAGTCGTCGTACTTCTTATTCTATTCATAAACATTTACCATTGATCGAATCCAGATTGGATGCTATACGATATCCATCAACAACATATCATTTACCATCACAACTAAAGTTTTATACACACTTTAAAGGAAACGAGTATAGGCTAGTCCTATTATTTGGTTATCAGTAAGTGTGTCATTGCTGTACATATTGCTTTCTCTCTTGATAAGATTAGTATCTAAATAAAATATGCATTATAAAATTATTCAAGTAGAAAAAGATTTTTTATGATTCCCCTATGATATTGAACTTGTGATCACAAGGACATTATAATGCCACCTCTTGACAATCAATTATACAACTTAGCTGGCATCTTAAATGATTATCAACTGATACTAAAACAAAGATGATGGCCCATCTATCGATGGTGCCATGTAAACAGAAAAATATCAATTTATCTCAAAAACCTGTTTTGAGCTATAAAAGGCTGCATATTACACAATGTCAATCAATGAGCTACTTGAACGTTATTTTTCATAGAATTCATTTCAATAAACTCAAACAAAATTCGAAGTTGAGATATAATAAGAATTTTAAAATTAAAATTCTACGTTTCACAAAATAAAAATTAGTTTTCTGCAAAGAGACTCGTGTGAGCAAAGGAAATTACAAATATTTATTTCTTTATAGGTATTTTAAACCAGCTCTACCTTTAAAATACTTTCAACATCTGAAGCTTTTGGCATTTGCTATGAATTTGGCAGAGTCATTCGTTTTGCACCATGATACTATAGAAATTATTCGTATGCTACTTGATGAGTTTGACCATTTATTTTCGCAACTATATTCAGTAAGTGCATAATCTAAATTTTAAATTCATATTATTCAGCTGAATAGCAGCCGAATTGCACTCAAATATTTGTTTAATTCTATATCACAAACCTGTGCTATAAAATCGAAAGTACGTTTGCATGGCATAGGAAATTTTCTGTCGAGAGTATAGCTGTATTCAAAAGATTATGTTAATTTCTGTTGAGTTTTGAATTATTTCTTTTAACTTGCCATGCATATATTCCTGATGGTATGTAGCGTTTGGAAATGAACATTTTATGATGGACAATAGTTCCCTATAGAATCATAAAAACGAATGAATCGTGAAAAGATTATGAACAACTGCTATGCATTATCAAAAAGTGAACGTTAGATGTAAATGCTATTAAGTGTCTATTTATGATAAGTCTAATTTTGGTATTAGACTCGTTAACATTATAAATTCCAATTTACAGAGATATTTTCTATTTTAAGATATGGCCAAAGGGCCATCTGAAAAACGATGTGCCTGTGGAAAAGAGAATGAGAAAAAGAATGCTATACAATATTTTTTTCTGATGACATTCTTTACGTTTTAGATTATTGCTTAAGTTGTAATCCATTTCTCCTCAATAACTGTAAGCGCTAGTTTGGAAAAGCATTAATGGTTTTGGTTTAATTTTTTCTCAGTCATTAGAATCCAAGTCGGATAAGAAAACATATACATCAGTTAGATATTTGTGTCACTTCAATCTCACATTGATTATTAAAAATCCAGAAAAGACTGATTTTATAAGGTATTAATGTAATATGACTGAAAATCACCTCCACTACATAATAGTAAGGCAGCATTCGACTAAAACAGGTGGCTTGCTAAATTGAAAACATGATTAAATTTCGGAAACCAATGAAAGGTCTTCGACGAATAGTATTTTTTTAAAAGGTCTTTTTTTGTCTAGGTAAATTCAATGACGTCCGTAGTACATTCTATGGTTCATGTGCATGAGTCACTTAAAGATTTTGGACCCCTTCAAAATTATTCAACATTTAACTTCGAAAGCGTAATCGGTACATTTTTGACAAACACATAACCAATCCTATGACTAAATCGTTCGGTATTTCTCGCTTTAGGTTCACTTGTGCAATCTGTGAACGGGCCTAGTCTAGTAATACATGAATTAGTAAATAATATCAATATTCTTCAAGCAGCTACAGAAAAAATTGATCATATACACTTACATTCACCTTTGAGAATATTTATTGCTCGATTATTTTCTACTAAACGACAAGCGTTGCCGAAAGTAAGTTCGGAAGATACGAAGAAATCTGTTCGTCTTGGTCCGATGTTGAAATTACCACAAGATCATATAGTAATGACATATTTAAACACAATCTATTCTGTGCCATTTCATATTCATGAAACATGCTGGAAAAACAAGATACGATTTTCAATCTACAATCCAAATTCTCTCTCACGAAACTGCGATTCGTGTTTATTGTTCAAAAACCAAAATAATGAAACTTGTTACGGTTTTGTAGTCGCCATTCTGAACCAGCCACAAGAAGGATATCGTATACTTGTAAATCAAATACAAGTCAATCGTCGAGATAGTTTAATATTAAAAGGACGATGCATCATCAATCCGTTCATCTTTTGGGGACATTTAACAGATACTCCGAAATTCGTGATAATATCTCTCGAGCATATCATTGTAAAACTCGCGTATAGACGAGAAAATGATTTATTTCATTTTTTTCAGTTTCCCAATACAGTGGAAAGTACCTAGAAACAAATCTCAAAATAGATGTTGAGTAGAACATCAATATTATCCCAGGAGTGTAACCGACAATTGATTTTCAACTTCGCATAGAGCATACAATATCAAAACTCATTTTCCATTCTCTTGTATATTCGCAACAAAAGATACAAAATATCGTAATAATTAGTCTTTTTTCCTCTTTTCTACCAATTCTGGTCAATGAAACATGAAGTAAGTTTTGTGAACTAATTAATATTGGGCAGTATATTCACGGCGAAACCTCATGTCTCATTATTCAATCCACAATTTCTAAAAGCAATAAGGTTGTAAATCACAATGACGAAGCACTTGTGTCTAATTTTTTCACAATAAAATTAAAATAATGCATATATTAAAGAGAAGCTGCCTCAAAGGATATCTACAAATAACTAAAATTTGATATTATGATGCTCATTAATTTAAGAAGGAGCAAATAAATTTTAGTGCAACCATCAAAATGCACGAAAGGAAATAAATTCAACGGTTTACATGCTGAAACTTAGAAAAAAAAGTTGGCAGAAATAACTGCATCTAATATCATAAGTAGACTCACGAGGAACCAGATCAAAATCATTGATATTTCTTAAAATGAAACCAGTTATAATAATTACACATTTAAATGGATTAAAAGCAATGAAATTATGCGTTTAAATAGTGAAAAAACTGGAGAGCAAAAGGTACGAATAATTTCATCATCTAATATGAACAGAAATCAATCATAGATGATATTAAAATCATTGATATTTTAAAAAAGATAACTTATGATAATTTGAAGCATTTAAACACTTCAGATATGAGAATCTTGCGTGCTTAAACAATTAAAATTTCCGGACGGAGGCATGCAAAATATTTCCTCGTGTCGCATTGGTGAAATTTATTGAGCAATGATATTTAAATGATTAAATTGTTAGAAGAAAAACAGCAAGTTATTCATAGTCGTTTCCATGATTAATTGCATACGAAACAAAGCGTTTAAATGAAGGAAATTGGAACCAAATAAGTACGACAAAATAACCACCATGCTTTTACTCTTTATGGTAGTATCACTTGATAGTTAAAATGATTAACTTTAATAGATAAATAACAGGGGGGAAATGTGAAGTAAAAAACGCATCATATGCTACTTTTTGAAGAACAAGCATGCTTATTAAAAGATGTCATACTTCTCGCAATATTAATGGAGCTGAAAACGTTCTAAAAATTGGTATTTTTGACGTCTGTCGCGTGTTTTTCGCAAAGTGAACGTGTAAATGATCAGAAAGTTTACCTTTCAAGCGTGAAAACTCTTAAAAATACTTGATTGTTCAAAAGTGGTCATGTTAACATAAAAAAAAAGAAGTGTTTCAACCGTTTACACGACCACTTTTTTTTTACGCGTGCGGACGCACAGAAAACCCTGTTTTGTTGCGTTTAAACGCGTTTTTCGAAATTTTTGTCTGCTTGGGTATTGCCATTTACGAATAAAAATTTTTCCACGAAGTGTATTGAGTAATTGTATAACTTTATCTAATATTTCATTGAATGGATTGGAAGATAATTCTATAAAAGCATTTGTATCAGAGAAAAATTTTTGAGCTTTTTTTTCAAAATCATTTGCCGAACCAATACCAAAATTATTTCCTTTGTCCGTGACACGAATAATAAGATTCATATTTTGAATTATTCGTCGAATTGATCCAAGAATTTGTGCTTGTTCACGACTTATTAATTGATCTTTATATGATAATGGAGTAAAATAACTTTGATTAAGATAATCAAGTAAATGATCTGAATATTGTTTGAAAATTGGATTGTTTCGTGGTATAAGATGAGGATGTCCGGTGAGATGATTTTCAACTTTTGAATAAATATCTTTATGTTGATTTTTTATTT